CAGCAGGAGAAGTCAAAGAGTCTGGAGACGCTCGCTTAGCGAGACTAGCAGGTCCAGCGAAGTTGCGAAGGCAGTCTTTGGCAGATGCTTTGGCAGAAGTTGATTTCCTGAAGCCATCTGAAGCCTTGCACGCCTTGGGCCCCACCCTCGTTATTGAAGGACAGCAGTTAGGTGCAAACACCCGACAGATCATGGGCTCCAGATCTTCAACGGGTTCAGAACGTGCCTACTTGGTGCTATGGCACGGATACTTCGGCTGCCATGGGGCAGTTCCCAGGCTGACCGCTTGGGGGCTTCGGCGGCTTCAGGGCCTCTAGGGGCACAGATCTATACTTTCGCAGGCGAGCAAGGGTAGGGTCAAGCAGCTTCTGTGACTATGTGCGCTTGGAAACACACTCACCTAACTGTGTTTGCTAGTGCTCGTAAGGGTCAGGGTCATGGCCACGCTGATCGCCATCATCACGGGCATCGTCTTCGTCGCAAGATCTCTGTTTGACTCGAGCGATGGTGGAAGGCTTTAGCCAAGCGGGATGCTCTCGATCCGTACAGATGATTTCTGAATTTATGAAGGCATCCTTCTGGTTGTGCTGGCGACGCTCATCGGAATCGGAACAACCTAGTAAATGGTGCAGCCGACGATAATGACCATTGTTTCGGCACGTAAACTATCGTAAAGTCCGGAGCATTTGTTCATACCAGGCGCAACAAACAATACACTAAACTCGACTATACACTCTGCAATAATAGTCGTAGTAGTGGTAGTAGTAGTAGAAGAAGTGGTAGTAGTAGTAGTAGAAGAAGAAGTAGCAGTAGTACCAGCAGAATAGCAGCAACAGCAGCAGCAGCAGCAGCAGCAGCAGCAGCAGCAGCAGCAGCAGCAGCAGCACCACCACCACCACCACCACCACCACCACCACCACCACCACCACCACCACCACCACCACCACCACCACCACCACCACCACCACCACCACCACCACCACCACCACCACCACCACCACCACCACCACCACCACCACCACCACCACCACCACCACCACCACCACCACCACCACCACCACCACCACCACCACCACCACCACCACCACCACCACCACCACCACCCCCACCCCCACCGCCACCGCCACCGCCACCAACACCAACACCAACACCAACACCAACACCAACACCAACACCGCAACCGCCACCGCCACCGCCACCGCCACCGCCACTGCCACCGCCGCCGCCGCCACCACCACACCACCACCACCCAACTAACAACAGCAATATCATCATCTTCTTCTTAGTTGTTTATAATTTATGTGGTGATATATTTACCATCATCTTCATCATTGCCATACTCATCTTCGTCATCATCGTCATCATCAACTTCAGCATCAACAACATTAGCGCAGCAGCGGCGGCGGCAGCAGCAGCAGCAGCAGCAGCACAGCAACAACACCGGCACTAAGAGTCATCATCTTCACAATCGTATGTGGTATGTGCCAGGCTTTCCCTGGCCATCTCTGGGCCGTGGTGCCGCTTCTTGGGCCTCAGGGATGGTTTAGTCTGGCTTTTGGCTTCTTGGGTTGTCTAGAGCTCAGGGTTCAGGGTCCTTGCTTTTTGTCCAGGTCGGGGATTGGGTGTGGGAAAGGTCGAGTCAAGCTGGGCACAGCGTGCAGCAATCTTCGTGCAGTCTGTTGCAAAGCTCCCCTAGAAGTCGAAACAGAAACTGAAGAACCCTAGACAGCGATATACAGCGATCGAGAACTGGCACGTTCCTGCTCATTCGCAACAGCGAATCGACTCAGGCCGTTTCGGTCCTTCGTCTACGGTGTTGGTCACTCGAGGCAAGCGGCAGACAGGCGAGGCAGCAGAGCAGAAGGTTGTAGAGTGTGCGGGGTGTTCGACTGACGTGCGATGTCTGCATGGCCCGTCGAATCTGCTAAGCAACACGGGTACAATCGACTGTCGCTGCACCGTGGTGTCAGATCTTTATGTCAAGTGCACGCGTGCGAAAAGGTATGCATGTGAGTGTGTCTCTCTACCTGCATGAGGACATCAATGCACAAAAGAATCGGAAACCCGTAAATGCGACCCCGCTGAATCCTCCTTGGCTAGGGCGCCAGACTTGGACTTGCCAGCCCGAGCCCGGGAGTTGGCGGCGAAGGAGGCAGGATTCTGAAGAGTGGCCCCGCTGCAGGACCAAAATAGCACCCAAACATAATAAAGGGATACCCCGATGTGCCTACTTTGTTGGCTTACAGCATATCCCAACCTTGGTTTAGAGTCTTTCTTTTTGTTCCCTATTTCAGAGCACTCGGCTGGGCTGGTCATGACATCCGCAGTTCTGTATGTCCACTTGTCGCTTGGAGGCGGGGGAAGCGGGCGATGAGGAGGCATCGGAGAAAGAGAATGGTCTGTGGATATGAATTTGCAGATTGGCACGTATGTATGTATGTATGTATGTACGTATGTATGCATATATATATATATATATATATATATGTATGTATATGCGTTCACATATACATATACATTATATATATATACACATAACATATGCATAGGTTTATGATTTTCGGTCTTTGCGTGTGTATAAAAACAAATGAGTAGAACCCACACATATGCAAACAGATATAAACGTGTGTATATGAATACACACGCATATGTATATATATATGTATATGTATACATATACGTACATATTTCAAAATGCACATACTCCGTTTGGGGATATGCAGGTATACAGCCACGCATACACACACACACACACACACGTATACGATGGATGGATGTTTTGTGCATGGCTGTCTGTATGTATGTATATATGTACGCAAGTACGTATGTATGTATGCATGCACATAATACGTACATATGTATGTACGAACATGGTAAGTCGGTCGGCGGGTAGGCACGCAGGCAAGCAGGCAGGCAGGCAGCCAGGTGGGTAGCTACACATGTCAGCTTGGATACTAGCGGTACTAGCGACAGTCGAGAGTCTGGAATTACTTGTCTCGCAGCAAGAGTCGGAGTCTGGATGCTGCCATCAGCACACCCAGCCATGTCCGACGTGTTCGTGGCAAGGTCCGTCTTCGTCTGGTAATCTTAGTGATACCATAAGCCCATAAACAACAGCATCCGTCAAGATAGTATGAACCAGTGCGGCTTAGTAAGGTTGATTGAAACAAAGCAAATTCAGCAACATCCATGGTGATTGTACCAGTAGTAAAGTCGTAGCGTTTTCAGCAGCACTGGACCTATTCGTACTTGCAGCGCTGGCTGTAGCAGCAACTAGCAACATCGCTTGAAGACCACTGCAAGCCACATGTGTTTCTTTTTGCACTTGGTCCCGTTGATCAGCTTCAAACCTGTTTAGTAGCACCGATGATGCCAAACAAATCAATTATGGTTGTGTTGGCATCAGGCACAATACTATGAACAAGAATGGTGTGACAAGTTTCAGTAGCCTTTGTGCCCGATTCTAGCGTAGGTGTCATGGCACTAGTCAGCAAAGATCAAAATGCCAATGAGATTGCGAATGGAGTCCTATGAATGGCATTCATAGTACGATTTAGGTTAGCCGTATTCGTAGCCGTAATGGTGACGTAGCATGTACGAACGCAGCGCGGAATGTGTCCGAAACGCTTTTGTTGTAATTGCATTTAGTGTACTTTCATGCGAGGGCAGTGGTTTCTTCGCAAGGCATATTGATTTTCAGCATGGCGTCACGCGAGCAAACTTTAAAGACCTTGGCAGCAGGGGTGTTCACGGTACTCCGCGCAGAGCACTATGGGCAAGGGTAAGGTGCCGCGGTAGATGCGGAGGAGAGGGGCCATGCAGATGCACATGTTTGTGCGGCACAGCCGTCACAGACGACACGCAGACAGATAGACAGAACAGGCAGACAGACGGACCAGACAGACAGACAGGCAGACAGACAGACAGACACGCAAAACCGTAGTTGCACGCTGGATGGGCAAATCAATGGTTGCATGTTCGACAGACTACTAGATTATACGTGCAAAGTCTAGCAAGGAGGTATATTCACTTTTATCAATATCTTATCTCATCTCGCAGTACATGACATTGTATGAACTTTCGTTAATATCACTTGCTGTGTATACATGAACAGGCTTGTTGCGAATCCCTCTTGCAAGGTAGGTTGGATGAGTACTCTGGCCAGGCGTGGCTCGACTTCGAGGAACGGGCACTACAGCGCTGTGGTGCCTGGCGGGGTCCGGAGGTGGTCCAGGTGCAGCGACGAATCGAGAGTGCCTTACCTTACACCTCAACCCCGACCCCACAATCGCGAGCACGCAAGCACTTTGCTCACGGGCGAAAGTTTGAAACGTGTGAGCTGTGGGGTATGGATTTTGAGCCTTCGCAGGCTTCTTTGTGTTGTGGATTGCGCGCCTTGCATGCAATCGTGCAAGGTTCCGGATTTCTGATTTTGAAGACGGTGCTTCTGCAAAAGTGAGTGCACTTCGTCCTGGATGGATGGCCACATCGTTCTGGCCAGGTCCTGCACGCATGCGCAGTGGCACAAAGGCGGCCTAAGCGTTTGCTCGCGAAGCTTTCGAAGGCCATCCGGGTGGTCCTGTCCTGGACTTTGGAGTAGCTTGCATCACACTGCGTAGAACATGCAATCCGTCTGAAGTCTGCGTAGTGTCGGGAATCTTTGTTTTGATGCATGTTCTTCGCTTACTCAAGACCACCGGTCTTTTGGTGCTTCCTCCGCCCATGACAGAGCAAGTTCGATATCTGACGACGACTTTTAGCATCTTTTAGCCATAGAATCGGTGACTCAGCGAACTCCTTCCAGGACATCCCCGACAAGCTGCCCCAGTTCGATGCGTCTGCGCTGTGTTGCTCGTCAAGCCTTCAGCAGTCCTCAGATGATTTAGTATCCTGGACCACCCCCTTGCTGACTTCTGGGTGCCATACCTGCATGGCGTAGGGGCCTCATTTGCAAAGGCTCACAAGCATCCTATGCTTTGAGGGTTGTATATCGGGGTCCCGCCAGACTCCCGTGTTTTCTGAAGCCACTCTGTGCCGCCCTTGTCCTTCTCAGGTATTTGCTTGCACACCTTCGCACAGCTGCGCTCCCGAGACGCTTCCCTGTTCTCGGTGGTGACACGGCGCTTGCTGCAGCCAGATCACAGGGAGGAATCTTGGTAGCTGCAAATATGCTATGTTTTAATGCGTCGCGTGCCAGGGCCAAAAGAGTCAGTAGACACCCTCGGAATACAAACAGATGTTGGTTGGCCTTCTGAAAGAGAGAGCAGATCCCTCTGGCTGAGCCGAAGAAGAGGGTGAGGGAACTAGGAAAACATGAGTTTCCAATGTGGGAATGGCGGGTGGGTGCGTTTAGACAGCTTGTTACAACGTGCTGCATCCACCTTGTAACTCTGCATTTTTCAAGGTGATGAGTCCACATGGCAGAGGACAAAATGAAAGATGTAGGCAATGCCTCGGGAAATGCCGGCATAAACTTGTGCTGTGTTTACTCCCCCAACATCAGGAGCCGTTCGGCGCGGCATGCTTACACCCGGTATGCCATGCCGATGGACAGAAAGAACAAGAGTTTGGCATCTGAGGAGTTGGGCCCATCTCATCTCTCCTCGCTGCTTTATTCGCATGCGCGCATCCTCGCTTTTGACAAAGGTCTTGTGAGGCGGGCTCTACCCATATTGCAGTATCGCTAAACTAGCTGGCCTTGATCTCTGCAGCAGAGACCATCTATTCAGCAGAAGTTCGTTTTTTCTCTCACGCTTGAAGGCTCTATTTGCAAATACATCCACACATCATGGTCAGGTGTCGACGTAGCATATGCATGGAACTTGAAGTGGTTCCATCGCCTGAGGACATTTCACAAGTTCACATTGACATCGGAAAGATCACAGAATGGAAAGGACGGTGGCGATGTGCTTTCGATGCCTGTTCAGGCTCGCGCAGAAGAGCCTGGCGGACGACCACCGTGCTTTTGAACTGGAGGAGAACTTCCAGCAGCCCAAGGGCTTGCTTCGTAGCAGGATCACACCTCCGCTCCTTGCTTCAGGACCTGGCGACAGTGCTTCAAGCATTCGCGACGCTTCGCTTGGGCCATAGACCGGCGTAAGAGTCTCGGACTACGCAGGTCCGGGCTGTAAGGGAGCTCGAGTGCAGGTGCCTCTGTGAGGCACAACCGGCCGTAGCCGTAGCCGCTGTGGCCCAGGTGCGGAGGACGTCCGCCTATCCGGGAGCAGCGCACGCCTCGTGGCGAAGGCAGCGCCCGCAGCGCCGCTGCCGCTGCTGGCGGACCTTCTCGAGGTGAAGTGCCGGTGTCTGGCAGGGGTTGTGGAAGGTTTGAGGGGTTCAGGCTGGGGCCTCTGCTCTATACGCGTGGATATCCGAGCCAACCTGTCAGAATCTGATAGTCTCAATGATTGTCGCGGGGGTGATCTCTGACTGCTTGGCCGGTGACCGGAGCCTTTAGGTTCCCCGTGCGAACAGGTCCATGAAAGCAGTAATTACGCCTTGCGCAAGCAGCAGATTGCATCACCACCGAGACGCTGCAAACAGCTGTAGTCCGAAGCACAAGACGCTAGTGATAGGTTCCACAGGCCCGTGGTTTCCTGCTCCCACCGCCCCACCCCGTGTTCCCCCCGCCCATGTCCTTGCAGCGATCGCCATGGCCTCGCCAAGCAGCTGGATGTCGTCCGAATCCTACAGCGAAGTCGGGTTGCGAGATGCCTCGGCCGCCCTCGGCTTTTCGCCGTCCTAAGTTGAAGTGCTGGCCACTAGCAGCACTAGCAGGTTCACGTCTCTGAAAGCCCGAGCTCAGGTCGCTGGTGGCCGGAGCTCTTACTGGGTTCCTGGTCATCTTTCGCGACGTCAGCACCCGAGCAGCAACCGATAGACTTGTCCGAAGGAGGGCAGGGTCACACTCAGCTCATGCCAGGCTCCTGGCATGACATATCCTGACATCACGCGCCCCTATGGGAGTTTCCGAAAATTAGGGGTACCTTATTTTGGGATCCTTATAACAAGGATCCTACCATTTAGGGTACTATGTTAGGGTCCCCTATTTTCGGAAGCTCCCATATGTACCAAGGGTGTTTCAATATCTTGAAATCCCTCTCGGCCTCAACAGGAGAGACTCCCAACACCGAGAAGCCAAGAGCCAAAGTGGAAAGACCCATAGACAAGCCAATCTATGTAAGGCCCTACCTAGGCCCTGGACCCCCAAAGCCGGCATCTCACCTCATGACTCCAAACCTCCTCTGCCCCTCAGCCGAGGTTTTGCTTTGGTCTACTGCGCACCCAAAGTGCTGCGCCCGCATCAGGCAGCCGCACTCCGCCATGTGAGGGAAATCGGCCATCGGGTTGACGAAAGATGCAAGGTTCGGGCAAAGGATCTGGGGTTATAGGAGAAGCAATGCTGGAGTGTGCCCACTGTGGCTCCAGAGGGGTTGAAGAGGTTCGAACGAGTCTGACGGGCTTCGACCGGAAACTTGGACTTGCGCTTTTCCTTCGATTCAGCATGGCCACCCGTCCAGCGGGAGCCTTCTGGCTCTGGTGTCCGATGTGAAGATCTGGGAGGGCAAGTAGATTCCATGGTGAGGGCTTTTTGTGTCTGGCTGACGAGCGGCTTCATTCATCTAACTGCAAAGGGCTCCGAAGGTTGCTCAGAAGCGCCATGCTTGGTCACATTTGTCGCTAGCCTCGCAAATGTGGAGGAAAAGGACTGTCTGTGTCTGTGTGTGTCTCTCTGTCTATGTGTGTGTGTGTGTGTGTGCGCGCGTTCCAGTGTGTGTGTGTGTGCATTCGGGTGTGAGCGTGTATGTACAAACAACACTCGGGTATTTATGGCTGAATGCTTGACTGCACCAGACTCTGATAGTGCGTATAGCAACAGTCAAGAGGAGCACCGCCATTAACAAGTATGCCAGCCCCAGTGCTGGAGCACCACGACGACACCAGGATCACCAGGACCGCTGGGACCGCCAACACCACAAAGCAGCTACAAGCAGAGCGCCGGGAGACCAAGCCACAACCAGGAAACCAGCAAATGACCCACAAAGCAACCACGAGGAAACTGCCGGGAAGCGGGCGCTGCTTCCCCCCAAGTACTTAGGATTCAGAGGCCTCACCTTAGCGGTAGTTGGCGGCGTTCCGGGCGCGGTTTCCCCCCTGTCACCAGAGCAGCACTTCGCAGAACCTTCTGGGAACCCCCCCGCGTGCCTCGCGAGAACGCTACTCACCAATCCTGATTATTCCCAAGAGAAGAAACCAATACTAGTTGTCCGTACCACAAGTTGAGGAGAAAAAAGAAACGGGAAGGGCAATCACAACGGGATTCATCAAAGAACGGGGCTGCACTGCTGAACTGGGTCTCCTGCCAGGCAGCGGTAACGGCGTCGCTGCTGCTTTCTTCAGCAGTCGCTCAATGTGTTTCTGGGTCGCTGTTTGGCAGCTTTTCAAAGTTTTCAGCGTAGGTGATTGCTTGAATTCTGCCATACTGCTCAGAGCTAGAGCCCTCAGACCCGGCCTATTTGTGCGCATTTCTACATGTTTATGCCAACGGGACCTGTAATCTTTAAGTTCGGGCAACTCCATCTAAGCTCTTTGCCCCGAGGTGTACTCCTGGCGGCACAGCTTTCCCACAGTCGTGGCCTGCGCTTCCTCCTTGGCTGTTCCGTTTCAGAGTGCCGGGTCTGCAAGCTCTGGCTGTACACCCAAACGTGCTGAATGAAATCAAGCAGGCTAGCACGCTTTTACATCAGAGCATCCTGTGGGACAATCGATTTTTGATCGTTTCTTGCCTGAAAAATTTCCGGATGCAAAGAAGGTGCTGTTTCTGTATCGATTGCGAAATCCTTGGGCCAGCGCTCCGAGTCAGTCCTGGCAACCGCTGCTTGCTTGAAGTCTTTGACTGTTCCGTGGCGTCTAGGGCCTGTAGGGCTTGGTTTTGGCGGTTTGAAGGCTCGGGTTGTAGACTTGCAGAGTATTTTTAAAGAAGGGGCAGATGTTGGTCCAGATGCTCAGGCTGGCAGTTGCAAAAAGGGAACAGATTTATTCGGTGCCCAATCCTCTTCAAAGTGTTCTCCCTTCCGACCTTCAGAGACCTCACCCTTCAGAATTGAGGTGGAATGGCCTTTTTTTCGGCAGTTTTCTACTTTTGGATCCTTACTGCAAGAGTGACCTAGACCTACACTTTGGAAGTGGCCCAAAAGCCCCAAGTCCCAGAGCTCAGTCCCTGAGATCCAGGTTCTGGCAACCTTCTCGCTGACTGCCCTGGTCTATGGGCTTCTGATCTTCCTTCTTTCCTTCGTGCCCATCCTGGACCCAGCTGACCTTCAGCTAGCTCCCCAAAGCCCGTTCGAAGCCCCGATACTCTAAACCTGTACAGCTACCCTGGCTTAAAGAACCCTTTCTTGAAATCCTTAACCCGATTGTAATGCCTAAGGAAGGTGTCCACTTTGAAACAAGTGTTCTGCAGGACCATCTCAAAAGCGCCTTCCCGCAACCGGTGATGTGCGCCTTCTTCCTGGTTGCAGGCACAGAACACCTGGCATGGAGAACCTTCTCACATTTGCCATCTGCTACTCCTAGTGCTATGACGACTCCGACGACTACTTCTACACCGCCGCCCTGTTGTTTGTGATACCGTACGGTCGTACTTGACATGCCATTGCGGCCCCGTTGGCCAAGAAGCGATCTTCACTCTCCCAGCCTTCTACTGTTGCTAGTGGTCACAAGCACAGTATAGTCGTCGTGATGGAATGCGGCCACCGTTGACTTGCCTGGCCTTTATAGTACCCCTGTGACAGGTATCGGCATGCTTCAGGGTGCCCTGGAGCTGGTGTGTGGGCAGCCTCTGCCTGGCACCCGGATACAGCGACGATACATAGACACATCAGTGTTTTATAGAATGTGGATACACCCACGATCTATATCTGCATGAATATATCTGTATATGCAGCAAAGAGGGAAGCCTATCAACCTGGGACTGGCATTTGCCGACAAGCGTGTTTTGATTGCGTTCCGGTGCGACCTTTGACCTTCCTTTCAACAGGTTTGGCGGCCATGACTTCCAGGCCCCGCAGCTTTGGTTTCGTGGCAAGTCGGCAGCCTGTGAGGAAGACTGTAGAGTTAGGGTTTATGAATGTTGGATTTTGGCTTCAGGAGGTTCCGGAGTCATGGCTCGCTTAAGCAGCTCGAAAGCTGGAGAGTTGATGGGGGGTCGGAGATGAGCCTACGGCACATCGCCTGCACGGTCTTGCATGCCCCGAATCTCCCGACATCTGAAGCGAGGCCGGCTGGCAACACCTAACAGCTCCCAATCGTAAAACTACACAACTTACATAACAGGACCCACACCCTTTTGAAAATGAGCCCTCGTAGTTTGGGCAGCTGCCCTGTGGCGAGGCAGCTGCCTACGCCCAAATGACTCTTACTGTCCTCGTGGGTGCTGCCAACCGGGCGGGATCCAAGTGGCTGTGACCTGGTGTCAGGATTTACTGGTCTAGCAAGAATCTAGGAGGGCAATTTCGTGGAGGAAGGTTGAAGAGTGTGTTTATGAATGCAAAGCCTCAGTATTGGATTGGTCTCAGACGTAGCAGACGAGTGACTGCTAAGTCGCATGATACTGGTGCTGCTGGGATGTTCATTCACTTAGCTTCCGTGCCGCACATTCCCTTGCTCTCTGGGGTCAGGGTTCGCGGTTTTTCACTGGCCAACGAACCGTTTCTAAGGCGACACTTTGCCGTGTTGCCAGCGAGCCTCTGCCTTCAGAAGCTTGGAGAATTCGAGTACACGAGAGGGCCAGAACACGCTGCAACAATCCTCAACCCAACCCATGGCTGTAAGCCTGGAGCCGGCAAAAGCCTCAGGGTAAGACAGACATGAGTTCTTAGGCCTTCGTAAGCTGTGCTGCTGTGTTTGGCAAGCCCTAAACCCTAAAGCCTGAACGGAGCCTCCCAATCATCGCTGCTACTTCCTATTGCGACTGATGTACATCTGCTATTTCTGTTCTTCCAGCCATTACATGACTCTTACAGCCCTGAAGCCGAAGCCGTAGACCCTCAATACTCAGAAGGCCCCCTACCCACTGACTTGTCTAAAAGTTTGTAACGGTTACTCGGTAGTACTATTTATTCCTCTTGGGTTCGTAGTATTATAAGTATAGTTCAAGCAAGCCTTTTTATCCTAGCCTGTATAAAACCCCCATAGTGGCCCAAATCCCCAAATCGTCGCCCTTGAAGAAACCCTGACGGTTAGACCTTAAAGCAGCCCTGGCAGCCTAAAACCCCAAAACCCTAAACCCCATCAACCCTTAGACCCTTAAACCCTAAACCCTTAGACCCCAAAACCCTTGAACCCTAAACCCCTAAACCCCTAAAGCCTTAAACCTAAACCTTAAACCCTAAAGCCTTAAACCCCTAAATCCTAATCCGCTCGAGGATCCTCGGCTTTTTCCTTGGCCTGGGCCTCCTTGGGGAGGACTTGGGCACTGCAAGGAAAGCAGGCGCTTGGTAAAGGATTTCTACAGGGTTGACGAGAGATTTGTAAAGGGTGATAAAAGGTTTTCATCCGGATTTAGAGTTCCCAGATTTACAGGGTTGAATGGGGGCGAGATCGAGGGCTTTTCAGAAGGCTTTTGTGTTGGTGTTGTTGGCTTCCGGCTTTTTTTTGACTTCCGGGCGCCTGTGAGTTTGCGAGCTTGAGCCTCTCTAGTAAGTTTCTGCGGGGAAGTTTGATGTTGATGAGGTATCGTATTAAGTATCCGCCAGAAATGAACTTACAACTGTGGCAGGAATAGTTACTAATGATATCACCTTTGTGGTCTGTATATGACTATCCGTAAGAGTATACTCTCATGTACCTTAAAGCCCTGTTCGTAGCCGAGCTTCGCAACATGGAGCAGTTTCAATGCATGCAGCTTTCGATGCTTAGAACCTCAGGGACCTGTGACCCCAGAGACGCTTGGACCTTAGAGGCCGTTCGTTGCCATCACGCTCACGGCTTTACTTGCCATTCTGACGTCATTACTTAGTACCTTCACTACTAACATGTGTTCCCCAAAACCTACTGAGGAGCCACAGCGGCTAGTGTGGCGGAGAGACGGAGCACACCCCAGCCTCAGAAACAAACAAGCTAAACCCAACGCCCCCAATAACAGTCAAAGCAAACAAGAACAGGAAGAAAAAGAAGAAGAACAAGGACAAAGAAAGAGCCTGAGATCCAAAGGGCAACCCAAAACCATCGCTTGCACAGCTCCGACTGTCGAGGCTGGCTTTGGGAGCCCATGGCGCCCATAGACCTGGCAGGCGCCCCGGAGGTTTCCGGAGTTTTCGGATGAATGTAGGGGCCCTACACAATAATTCGAGTAGGGCTCGGGGGTATATTATACAAAAAATAACCGGGAACCCCAAAGCCCTATTCTACTTCTTAAGACCCCTACATTAGGGTGACCCTTGTCACGGTAACATCAGGAAAGGCAATACCAAAGGGGTGATGATACGAATATAGCAATAGTGGAAGCAACAGAAGTGCTGCGGATTACGCGTGTAATGCCAACAGCAGTAAGAGCAAAAGGAACAAGACTATCGGGAAGAAAAAGATCGGTAGGATTGAGGATGGCAAGGCACTGTTGTCAAGCTTGTGGGGCATCAGGGGCTGTATATATATATATATATATATATATATATATATATATGTATAGGTAGATAGATAGATAGATAGAGAGAGATATAGATATGTATATATATATATATGTGTGTGTGTGTGTGTGCATATGCACATCTGGAGGGGCATTCCCCAGCAGCCTTTTTGGATCTAGACAGCCATACTAGTACCCCTTGTAAGGGAACGCTTTTTTGTCTTCTGACACTGGAACAGGCCCATGCAGGAGAAAGAATGCGCAGCGTGCCGAGACAGCACCGAACCACATGGAACGAAGTACCGCTTGCATACTTGCGACCCGCAGGCTGACACCCTAAACACTCAAGACCTCAGACCCGTAGCCTCAAAGCCAAACCCCTCAACGGGCTAGAGACCCTAGACCCATCTGGCCTGCCTTGTTTCGGGGCCCTCACATGACCCAGGCCTGCCGGATCCGTTAGAAGTGGAGTGGTCGGTGGTCAGATCTCAGCTGGGCTCGGTCCTCTCCTTGTACCTCGGAAGCAGGGGAATCGCTTTCGTGGGAGCAGCGTTGCGGCCAAAACGCGAGGCCGACATAAACTTGGATTGTCTCGGTCGGGAGAAGTATGGCAGTGCGTGCCGGGCACCAGACTTGGCGCAAGGATCAGAGAAACAATGTGCTACAAGTAGATTCGGTTCATGGCATGCACAGGCACGTGCACAAGCTCAAACAGAGCACGTCAGGGTGGTTATGCTCGTCGTGGACTTGATGACCACGCTGCTTCCTCTTGAACTGATGACACCAACAAAATCGATCAAGATGGATGACGAGCCGCTTGTCTGCTACTCAAGGGTGAAGGTCCTAAAGCATCCTTCGGGGTTGGCTTCAGGTCATTGGTTCAGGGTTTCATGGCAGGCTTGGCATGTAGTCGGATGTTGAGTTAAGGCTTCCACTTTGGGCTTGTCAACACAATTTCACAGCTTGGCAGGTTTCGCATTGCTGGCTGCTCTTCGCTGGCGGGAGCTGTCTTCGGCAGCGTCTCGTATGTGTCGCTGTCACCTACACGGCTGATGCTCAGCCCCAGGTTTAGAAGACAAGGATCTGTGCTCAAGAACAGTCTGGTCTTGGCCCACCACCCCCGACTGACTACACTAATAGCAAGGCCGTTGCAAAGCACTCTGGAGCAATTGGCTCGATAGGTTTCGAAAGCGTGTTGAGTTTTGCTTTTGGCAATTCTGTCGTTGGCCTTGCGCATGTGTCGCTACCCACTTGAGCCATTTGAGTTGGTCTTACAAAGGCTCTCACCCTTTGCACTCCCTTCAGGGTCTCCTCAAATACCATGCTGACCTCAAAAGCCAAGGAATGTGGATGCCGGGGGTACCGGACGTGAAACTGGGCTCATTTCCGCTGCACTTTGCATACTCTGGATGCTCGGCCGCCAGCGAGATTCTATCAAAAGCCCACGCTCCATCGTCCCAAGGTCCCAGGGTCCTAATCCTAGAATTACCAGATTTGGGGAGACTTCGTGAGTTTGCCCTATAATGTCAGGATCTGGCTCGGGCCAGCGCTCACTGCCGGAGTGCCAAAGTTCGTGGTTGGAGGCGAGAGCAAAGCGGCACCGCGTAGTTACGGGAGAGCTTCGTAGAGCCTCGGTGTCTCGCATTATTCTAAATTTGGTTTTGAAGGCTTTCAGCGGCGGCTCAGAAGGAACGCCCGCGCTCCCTGCGCCAGGCATGCTTTGCCACCTGGCCTTTGGCTACATACTGGATGGTCTGTGGGAGCCGAGGTCACTGCAGCTCATCTGCAACCGAAGTACTAGCTGCTCCTGCCACGTCTGGAATTCTGGAGTAGTTGCCCGCAGCGGATAGACGTGCACAAGAATCGTGCTTGGCAAGGTTGTCTTTCGGGGACTACGCCATCATCCTGGCCATGTGCCTAGTGCCGGGAGGGATGGCCCTTACAGGGGCCGGTGTCGAGTTGATAGTATGTGCATGTATGTCAGCACTCGAAGGGGGCTTAACAGTCATCGAGACAATTGAGACCACAAGGGAACATGGAAGCAAAGGATACGATCAGGTAGCCGGCGCTCGTACCGAAGGTTAAGGCATAGAGCATAAGTGCTGATAGAGCATGCAAGAATCTTGAAACACCCTCCTCGCAACCCAACGTCCAAGATCTCATCTTGTGCTCGTTCTTTGGGATCTCGAAAAGTCTGTAGCATCCGCCGAGAACTGTCCCACATTAACAAACCTGGCACCAGCACGAACATTCACCAAATGGCGGCTCCCCAGAATACAACAGTTTTTAGGACATGATGTCTGCAGATATCCGCAAGTATCCTTCCTGTTTTTCATAGACAGGGCTGCGACCGCCACGTTTTTCAAGCAGTCTCTTCCGGGAACAACAGCCAAGCACGTATCACGAAGAATACGGACAGTGGGCCTCGAAGATAATTACGGGGTGCTGAAGCCCGACGTCATCTTTTTGCGAAGGAAAGGGCTGCATTTCCGGAGAGCGGCCTCTCCCTCGTCGTGCATGGGTTCAGCGTTCCAGTTCCTGCGCTCGGGCCTACCCGGCCCGAGCACATGTGTTGTTGATAGGAAGTTCCCCGAAAAGTCTTTGCTTGTGGAAACGGCAGCTAAAGGCCATGGTGCTCTACTACCTGGCTACAGACCTGGTGCCTGCCATTCTGGTGGGTTTGGCCCTCTGCAGCTCTCCGGCCTCAACGGCTTCTAGGCCCCACTCCCAAAGCAGTTCGCCGGATGCCTTGAAGCGCCTCCGACATGCAAGTGGCCCATACCCCGAAGCAGCACATGTTGAAGCAACTTTCGAAATGCCACGAAGGTTTCAACTTCATGCTGCGCTACTCGCAGAGTGGCCCGTTGGAATTTGTCACCACTGCAGGCTCGGGGAGACCTGCAGCAGCGGCTGTAGACTGTAGACTGGAAGTCTACATATAATAGTGTAGACCGGATGGATAAAGCAAGGGAGAACGTGCTTGAAGCCTGGATTATGAAGACGGCTGAGGTTCAGGCACAGCTGGATAGATTTAAATCTTCTTTGGCATCAGTCGGGCTTTTGTCCGCTAGCACGCCAGCTGAAAGTGTAGAAACGCAGGTCTAAGTCCATGTAGTCATGTAGTCTTTCTGGATGTGGGCTTCACACCTCGCGGTGCCATTCTGCAGGCGAGGCGGCCATGTTTTCAAACCGCTATCGCCCTGCCGACGACCGCTTGCACCTCGGCTGGCTCATCTTCTGGCATTCCCAAGCGAGTTGATGAGATCCCCCTCTTAATATTCAAACAGAACACGCCTTCGTCATGGCTGAGCTCAGGTACTTGAAGACCTCTCCAGGCGCGAGCTTGAGGATACCAACAGCTTGAGCTCAGCACTGTCCCCACTTGCACGCTTCATTACCAGCAAGGCACTCGAATGCCTATGGGCCAAGGCCAAGCATCTTGCTACACTAGCATATCATTGTAGGGGGCCGCAGAAGAGCCTACCAGTGTCGGTTTCGAGGCATCGTGGTGGCTCGCACCTTCTGCAGCCAGCTCTTCTTCGGCTCCATCGCAGCCATTCTCGGGGAGGCTTCTTGACAAGTTGCAACTCTGAGTCCAGAGAGTTGAGGTTTTCGGGGCTTCAGCAGATGGGGATCCCATTCACGGATCGCTTCGAGGGACTTTGCGATGATCTGACTTTCGAAGTCACGAGGTCGGCCCTTGGTTGAAAGAGGGGCGCTTCCTGTTGCTGGACTTGTCCAGCTTACGCCTCTTGTCTTCCAGGGAAATCTCGACTTGCAGTCCACTATAGAGCTCTGAATGAATGAAGTTCCTAAATTTCGGGGGCTCCGCTTCTCTATACGTGTCCGCCGCGGTATTACACCGTGCGCATGGCAGCCCTAGAACTGCCACAACACGGGCTAGGAGCAAAGTTCCAGGCACCTTCCTATTGAGATTGTCCCTTGAAACGGACTCGCCTTGCGGAGCACAGATCTTGAGAAACCGACACTAAACCTACACCACAAACCGCCCCTCCTCTGAATTCTTACTTGTGCTTCGAAGCCTAGGACCACCCCCGTTTGTTGAACTTGAGAAACTATGCTTTGTACTGGTAGTTAAAGCCTAGATTGCCTAGATGGCGTAAAGCTTGCTCTCTCGCTCTCTCCTTCTCTCTCTCTCTCTCTTTTCTTTCTCTCTCTCTCTCTCTCTCTCTCTCTCTTTCTTTCTGTCTGTATATATATATATATGTATGTATACCGTATCCACACACATACATATATTTTACATACGAATGCTAGTCCCTTCCGGCACACAGGTGTTCGTCTTTATGCTGATGCTTCGCTGAAGTGGCGATTTTGGCAAACATGTATCAACCAGGAAGTATGGACGTTGTGTCAACAGTCTGTGCCAAAAGCAACCGTCAGCAAGCACCAAGGAAATCGAACAGAAAAGGTTGCGAGCGCACGGGCACGCAGAAAGAAGCAGGAATGGCATGGGAAAACATGTTCTGTCATCCCGCTTTCGTTTTGAGCACTGCTTGGTGTCCCTCAACCAAACTGGCTTTCTGTACGCGAACTGCTAACGGAAAAGAAGGCATCAAAACAGACGACTTGCAAAACCCTCAACGACCCTTTTCCTTAACCACCCTGTAAGGCCTGTTTGAGGTTCGATCGACTCCTCCGCTTTGGCGGGCTTCCGGAAGCTGCCGCCGCACGTCCAGACCGTCGCGGTTGGCTCCCTGACCGCCTTGGGCGCGCTCGAATTTTGGGGGCATGGTGCCCTTGAACTTGAGGGTTTTGTGGGGCTGTAGGATGCGGGATCTGTATAGGGTTGTGGAGTGATTCCTCGAATGCTGACATTGCGGTTTCATGTGTCTTCAGGATTCTGAAACTCCGAGTGTCGTTTTGATTCAGGATGTGTATGGTGACATCCCAGAAGCAGAAGGAATCAGTTAATGAAGCCACAGATCGGATACTCTTTCAGCCTGTTGAAGTTGCGATCCGATCCGGCCAAGGGTTGCCTCTGCAGCTGGAGACGCAACTTCGAAGCGCAGGCGATTGCACGTGTTGCAAGATCTTCGGGGGGTGGGGAGCTTCCACGCATCTCTGGGTCTACGGCTCCAGCAGCAACTTGGTGTCGAAGCTCTTCCGGTTGCGGGGAAACGGAGCCAGGTCTTCCGGTTTGCATCTTCCAGTCCATCGACGAAGCCCTGGAGTGGTGCGAGGACCATGTTTTGAAGTTCAGGCGCCCCCAGCTGGATTCCGCTGTTGGGCTTCGGTATGAAGGGTTGTCGTGCACGATTGATTGACAAATTTCCATGAGGCGTCGAGCGCAACTAATTTTGAAAGGCAAGGCGCGCGTCTCGCCTGTGCAGGTACCTGGAGGTGAACCCGACGGACCTGAACTCGCAGCTCTTAGGTCGTCCCAGCAACAACCCGTCCTTGCCTGCGCCGGAGAAGCTAAGGCCGGGGGCAGTTAAGAGTCCCTACAGCAGAAAGCCTGTAGCCGCTTGCGACCTTCGCAAAGGAAGAGCCCCGACAAGCCAGGCTTGATGCTCCTGCAGTCTCTGCAGCCGTCACCCGGGCCTTGGGCCCTGGTCTCCAGGACTGCGCGCTGCTAAGAGCTGCGTTTTTTTTTCCGCTTCAACGAGATTATCGGTTGGCGTCTCCCATGAGTGGAGGACTTGGAGGATCTGCTGGAACAGCTGCCTGCCGCTTGACAGGGGAGAGCCCTCCGCAGTCCTGACGAACCAGAAAACCAAAGTTACATGTGGAAGCATGGACAACGAGTAATCTTGTTCGATGCCGGCTACTGATGTTAGTCATGTCATCTGCCGAAGCTACAGTGGGCTGAAACGGCCATTCCCAAGTCACTTTCGACTTCCCAACATTTCCTAACTACCAACCTCATTTGCCTGTCCGCATTATCAACATGCCAAGCTACAGATTCGCGTATGCACTTTCTGAGGTAAAGGCCAGGGAGGTTGTGTTTCACGAAGGATTGGCGGCCGAAGGTCTCTATGTGGCCGTGGCGGCAAACAGCAGAAACATGCATCTCAAGCCCAAGCCATGATCTCATGAGCGCACGTGAGAGTCTGGCAAACAATTGTCAACAGTTTGACTGCAAAGAATCTTGATCTGTGTGTTTGTCAGACCTTTAGTCTGGGTACAACAAATCAACGCCAGGTCGTCGTCAGTGGCACGCTGCAGATCCAGCATGGTAGCCAGCGCGGCATCGTGCTCGGGCCAGGCAGGAACTTGATGTCGAGAGCAACTCGTGGGGTTGGGTTCGGAGGTTTTACTTTTATGTTCAAGCAAGAAAGGTGGCAGCACACTCGCTGAAGCTTTGCAGCTTTTCCTTGGCTAGTCCCGCTCCACGCCCTCGCAGAGGAGAGGTAGCCGTGGATGTCAACATCAAGCGTATCTTCGGGCAGCAGCTCACTCGCATTCTTCCGCCGTGGGAACCTTTTGTGCTGAGGAGTGCATACGTCAAACACAGCACACAACCGCAACTTGAGCCATGTAGTGTAACAGTTTCAAATCAAGTTGCTCCGTCAGTGCCTCAGTCAAAGCCCAACTGTTTCAATTGCGGATTTCTCCTTGATCATGCGTCGCTCGATCTCATGGACAGCGTTCTCGGACGGTGTGCCTGATGCCATGTAAAAGTTGATGGCGCTTGCGTGACTTGTGGTAGTTGTCCGCCCTACCAAGCAGGGAGTCCCCAGCCCGGGACCCTGTCAGCACCGCTGGCCGGGTGCTGGGGCTTGCAGGTTGCGGTGCTGATAGTATCAGCATCGCAACGCGGGCCACTTTGAGGCCAACGCGGCTGGGCTGAGCCGTATGACAGCAGGGCGATGGGCTAATGCGCCTGCTGGGGTGGCCCGGAGGTTTGATGCTGCACGCGCCAAGTGCGTGTGCGATGCAGCATCGTCAGACAGGCAGAAGATCGAGTCCGCGTGATGGGAGGCCATTCTGAAACTGATCACCGTTGGCGCCGTTGACCATCAGCTGTGGTGCTTACTGTAACTGCCACAATGTCTACTTTGCAACGTTGTCTGCCAAGGCTGCCCGGTGCGCGCCGCGGCAAGCCCGTGTCAGCCGGCGATCTTCTCTGCGAGGTTGTGGCGAGTCTATCCGTTCCATGCTGATGTGGCTGTCCAGACCGTGTGTATAGTGCAACATAGTGCAACCTACACATCAGGTTCACGGCTTTAAGTTTCTGATGCCGACGCTTCTGCATGCAACGTGATGCCAGTTGATTACAAGAACCCGCCTAACCGAATTTAAGCAGACTGCACTTATCGTCCTTGTTGGCTGCACCGGAGGCTGCGCTGTACGGGCCCATGCTTCATACGTGGTCGCTCATCGCGGACACGCCGTCGCTGCTCTTGTTGCTCAGACGAGACAGGCTTCTGCTCGCTGAGCAGAGATATCCGCAGGCAGGGATTGTGAGTCAGATGCCAGGATGGCCCGCCAGATATGCTATGGCCCCAATTTGGTTAATGCCCCAACTTGGTTAGTGTGAGCACAGTTCGTGAAGCCTGGCTAGCAGGTCAAGCGTAAGCCACAAGCTGTCTTCTGGCTGGAGGCTGCCATTGCCTTGCACCGCCGACTTGTGGTGTCCCACATGCAGCTTCTTGACCAACGTAGTTCAGCTAATTGGTTTCTTCTCGATCACGGCGGCGCTCGTAACGGCCCAAGCTTCAGGTGCTATTAGCTTTGCCCCAAAGCCGATTCAGGTGGACCTTCTGGTGTGAGGTTAGCTTTGACGAGTTGGATAGTTTCAGGTTGGGCAAAGGCAACTTGCGAAGACGATTACAGCAGCCAACTGGGAATTTAGCAGCTAGCATGCAGTTTGGGCACGCAGTGAGAGCCACGACAAGGCGGACGTTGATGTGGCAGATGAGAATGGCGGAGACGTTGATGAGCATGAAAACGATGGTTTTGGTCGTTTTAGAAACGTGTTCGTGCCAGCATAAGTAGTGGTTGTTGCTTTGCTGTTGCGCCTTAGTGCTACTCCAGTCATCTCCAATTGCAGTCACGATTATTGCAGGATTATTGTTTTTTCGTCACTATTCTTATTGCTCACGCCGGTGTCAGCGGCATGGCGCAGAAACGATATTTTGCGCTTCTTCGGGGGTGGCGGGGTGGGGGGGATGGGGATACTTGCAAGCGCGTTGGAGTTTGTTGGGGCTATCTTGAACAAGTCGTTTCTCCGCAGTCGCCCGGGTCGAGCGACCAACAATGTGGGCTTGCAAGATGATGATGCAAGCTCACATGACGCGATGTCCAAGTGATGTCTTCGCTTAAGACACCATCACAGCAACAGATGGGACAATGACTGCGGAGCTCTGGACGAGGGAGAATCGTTGTGCTCGTAGAGCTGCGCGATGCTGATGATGGTGAAATGGCTACGATGATGACGGACATTGGTGGTCATCGTTAGTGTTATTGTTGCAGATGATGATGATGATGATCATTATGATGGTCGTGACAGATTCCTCGGCCGTAACAGCGGTGGTTTGCACCGCATTTTTCCGCGCTCCCTCGCTTTTGCCCCCCGCACTGACACCCCCATCATGCATTGATGCATAGATCTTATCATGTTTACATGATCCCTAGGCGTGGTTATAAATTACTCACGTTTATGTGGGTGCAACGCCGCCTCAAGAGCAGGGTTGTTGCTGTTGCTGCTGCGTGTCGATGCGCATCGTTTTGACGTGGTTGTTGTTGTTGTTCATGATGAAAATGAGTGGGCAGAAGAAGTGCGAGGAAGAGCTTCGCGATGGCTATGTTTGAGACGGTTTGTGGCTTGAGCCGTTAAATCATTATCGAACCGTTTTGTTAAGTATTTCGCCATCTCCCGACAAGGAAGACCGGCGCATGGCCCGCTGTCGAACCCGACGCACCGTCCTCGCGACGGACTGCCAGTCTCTGAAAAAAGATCCGCCTTTGGGTTAGACTGGAGCAGATCCTGCCCACGCGAAACTCACTAGTTTTCAGGGGTTAGAAGCGTCACTGTTTTCGCTCGCCAGAATGCAGCCTGTGTAAGTTCGTTTTGTTCGTCACCATTCCATGTCGACATTCTTCCAACCAAATGCCGCGTCCAAGTTTCCCTTATAAGGCGCACGCTTGTACCGGATCAAATCAAGTATCTTGGAGCCATGGCAACAGCATGTGAAGGCCTTGGTGCGGCTAAATTTGCCTTGCCGAGTCCTACAGGAAGGTGGCGCGCCTGAGGGTTGGAGGATTCTGTTGTTGCTATTTTACTACGGGAACGAGTTTACACATTATTGCAGGAGTTTGGTTGTGTTTGGTTTGTGCCTTGAAGATGACTGTTGCGTGCATCGAACGCCCCAGTTGTGAAACCAACTCATCCAACTCCTGATCGCAGACGGTTGTTTCACAGTAATGTCCAGTAAGGCTAAGCAGTTTTGGCCAGCGTCAGATGTTCAGGGAATGCTTACTGCCGACAATCACGGCTTGGGCCGTATCCTGCAAGTCTACAGTTGGGAACACCTTGCCATACGCTGCAGCAGGTCTTGGTACTCGGCACGCGGCGCATCCAGAAGAGGTTGCAGGCTGTTTTTGAGTGTCGTTGGGAAGCTGGGAAATCAGAGCTCAGAGCTTGGGTTGCGGCGTTCTCGTCCATCTAAAAATGCGAATCAACGTGCTAAAATTCGTCACCCTCGCAGATTCCACTGCCGGCTTTCAAGAACCCATGCCACTGGACCCGCAAAAGCCAACTTGGTGGGTCCAGAGCCCATGGTCAAAAAACTTCCACTTCAAACCCGGAAGGACGTTTCAGCACTCGTAACAATCAGCGAAACTGTACGGATGCTTCAGGCTCGAACACTCAGCGCCAGCGCCCCTCAGCGACCCAAAAGACGGCTTCGCAGCCTCAGTTGAGTCTTTGTAAAGCTCCACCTGCAAAAACCGTCTAGAATCTAAGAATTACCAGACAAGCCTTAGGCCCCCACAAACAAAAGCCATAGAAGCCCTACAACAAATTCTCGATGAAGGTCTCTCAGCTGACACGGCGGTGAGATTCCTCGTCGGCCTCGGCACAAAAGAAGGGACGTCGGAGCTGCCTGGGACCCCGGATTGCTACTTGTAGGGCTCAGGGTTTGAGGTATAGCGAAAACGTGGCATGCAATGAATATGACTATACACATTTTTTACATCGTCCCATGAGGGTTGAAACGATGAAGATGTCGGTGAAACATGTTAAGTTTATGGGAGAATTCCAGATCATAAGAATGACAAAATACAATAGCGTAGAATATCAGATCTTACAGCGTCGCACAATGCGATATAGCATAAACAGATATGGCAGGGCATGGCAAATAACATAACATAGCACAGTTTAACTCAGCATACGATGTCAACGTGCTACCATATACTGCAAGCAATACAAAATGCCGTACTCTTCTTATAATGTTCTACACGGGTTAACATCTTTCACAGCGAGTCTCTGATGTTGTGATCTTCCAAGAATGTGGTGCATTGCTCTTCTACAGAATTCTTATGAAATAACCCTCTATCTATTTCAGGCTTTTCGGCTTATTCTAAATGATCTGTATATTTGCTATACTACACAACGCGAAGCTGCACTATATACTATACTATACTCTGCCCTAATCTACCATAGCATGCAGGTCAATGTTTTCTTGCTGTGATATACATGCTATTCGCAGCTATGCTTTACCATGCCATGCAATGCCATACCATGCTGCGGTACTACACTGTATGGCGTGGTGTGGTAATAGTGATGGCAATCGCAATGGTGACGGTATGGCTTGGTGTGATGCAAGAAATATCGTCGAATGGAGCAAGATATAGCGTAACATAGTGTAATATTTAATAGTACCAGCACAGAAAATTTACCGCAGTATAGTTTAGTATCATAGAGTGCAGTATAGCATGGTAGGGTATAGTAGAATGTAGTTAAGTCGTATAGAAGATTTAGAAATAGAGTGTTCATGAGTATAATACAGTTAATGTAGGTAGAATACAGTATAATATGAAGTAGTATAGTGCAGTATAACGTAGTATAATGCAGTAAAATGTAGTATAGTACAGTATAAAACAGTGTGATGTAGTGCAATATAGTAGAATATAGTATGGTGGAATATGACAAAATATAGTAGAATCTAGTAAATGTCGTATTATATAGTATAACTAGTATAATCTAGTATAACATCGTAAAATATGGTACGTTCTAGGTGTAATAACAGTTAATTACAGTATGGTATGTTATAACAAAGTAGAAGATAGAATGGTATATAGTACAAACTGTATAGCTAAATGTAGTATAGTAAAGCACAATATGCTACGTAGAATACAAAATGTTATACTCGCATAGAATAAGTTATATAGCTACTGAAACGCTACGCAATCGAAATACAGCCAGCTACCCAAGACAGACAGACGTGGGCATGCGCATTTATCTTTAGAATTACATGCACTTTTGCATACACATAAATATATGCAAAAGCATGTCTTTGTGTACTATTCTGGATACAGCTATATACCAGTGTTCTGTACACCTCGTCAACACAATCCCGGCTGGATTCCATGTCGTATACAGTGCGGTGTTAGATAGAAAACAGTCGTGTTTGATTAGCTAGTATCTGAATCATGGCAAATATCGCAAGACTAGCTCGCTACGTCTCGCACGGTTAGAAGAACCCGCGAAGCGAGAGGATTTTGGAGCCATGGAGCCTAGTGGTGTTTGGGCTGAGTCTGACAGCCTTGGCATACCCCTTCTGTGGCAAGCTGTTAGGCGGTATGCCTTTTCCGACATCCGAACACCGAGTCCTGGGACACCGCCCGGAGAACCCCAGGCGTGGGGCTCTTTGCGCTGTGCTGCAGCAGAACCCGGAGGCGCTTGATCGGCCGCGGCTGCTGGTGCAGGCCGTCTTGCTTAAGGGCTTGTTTATGATGGTGGTCATGTCAGGACAGCGAAGCAGTACGCGCATGACTATGATGATCGGCATGACAGGTAGGTATTTTAAAGTGGTGTGGATGTTAGCATTTTGCAGAGGATTGCTATCGTTCTTGTTCTAGCATCCTGGGCTGAATGGCGAATGCAGGAGATCAGCACACGTCTGTTTCGTGAGTTGGGAAGTTTGTTGCGACGTGAACAGTGCATGAACCACAATAGTCACCGTTGTTCTTAATTTTAACGCTACGCCGCCCGCCTCGGCTCTGTAGTGGCAGGGCGAGGGTCCCGGCTTATTGTATACCTTCTGGTCACCCTAAACCCTAAACCCTAAACCCTAAACCCAAACCCTAAACCCTAAACCCTAAACCCTAAACCAGACAGGCAGTGGATTGACGCAAAAGCCAAAGCGGGGGCGAGGAAGACGAAACGAGGGCGGGGAGAAGAAGTGGGAGGGCGGTGCGAGGGGAGAGGCCAGGAAAGGAGGGGAAAGGGAGGGGGGGGTGGGGAGGGGGGGTGGAAGAAAAAAAAGAGGGGGAGGAGGCCTGGGAGGGGGCGGGTAGGCCCGCAAATCAGAGAAAATGAGGGGAGGCCGGGCAAGGGGGTGGCAAACGAGCGCAAAAACAGGGTGTCACCAATCATTTGGGCAACCACCAAAACGCCTGGGCCTGTGGCCTCGGCGGATTTTCACCAGGATGTTGGCAAGGCGATAGTTTCGAGGTTTTTTGCGTATGTCTTGTCATGCATGCAGAAGGAGCGTGAGGTGTTCCTGCATCTAGGCCCTCGGGTGCACAACGGAAGCCAAAGTCCCAACCTGAATGTTTCCCAAGCTCTCATAAACCCTATAAACCCTAGCAAAGAGGGCTCAACAAAAAAAACCCTAAACCCCTAAAACCCCAAAACCCTAAACACTGTGAGACTTGGACCGAAGAAATCAGGCCATGGATGCCCTGGCCAAGTCCCAGAGTGCTGAGGCTGGGATTCAAAGCGCACGGTGAACGCATCCGATAGAGGTGGCCATGCCAGTGATTATGAGTTTGGTGGTGATGGTGGATGGTGCTGGCGATGATGAGGTGGAGAAGATGGGATAGACGTGGATGAGGCTGAGGATGAGGATGTGACTGATGAACCGCCATGCGTGTTTATCGGTGAAACTCGTACAGGGGAGCGTTTTCAGAGACATGGCACAATGGGATCGAGTCACTGCGACAACACCGGCTGCCCTGGTAGGATGAGATGGTGCGCCTCGGGTAGGGTACTTGTAGCTGGAGAAGTCATAACTCGAAGGAGCTAAAAATGCCAGCCCACAAGATGCATAGAATTCTTGCACCAGTGAGAGGAAGGTCTGCTGAAGTCCATGAGCAAGCAGATCGTCTACCACATGGCCCTCCTCTGAGAGATCCGGGTGTCACTTCATCGACAGATCTTTCCCTCCAACTCAACATTTCGAGAGTATGTCTATGTTTTGCCTCTGTAAGAATGCAAGTCCGCATGCGCACGCAAGCTCATGCAAGTGTGTGGCAGTATGTATGTGTCTATGTGACTTTGGGGGTGCTCTTGCGGGGAGGGCTGGAGGGGCAAGGGCGACAAGACCCAACATGCGCCGGTGAGCCATAGACCGCTGCAGGAAAGCACAGTTGCAGGCATCTTGCTTTCAAGGTTCCTGCCGTCAGAAGCCGGGAATGATCAAGTGAGACTGCAGGAGATCTCCACTTGGATTGGTGTGCTTGTGAAAGCTGATGGCATCATGAACTGCAGGGCCCAAACTTACTGCATATGGTTGCAGCTTGCCACGACCACGAACCGGCAACTGCGATTGCAGCTTGATTGGGATGAAGGACTCTGGCTAGCCCTGCGAGCTGTTTTGAGGTGGACTTCAGCGTGAAGGACTTGGCTACCACAGCGAATGCATGCCAGCGAATGCGGTAGCCTCAGCTGTGCTCTTGGGGCATTCCAGGTTCGGGGAGAAATCGTGTTCGTTTGCAACAGTGTGCGCGTTTCAAGCATCGCTGAACATCAGAAGTGCAATGCTGGTGGACACTGTCGCACATGCATGCCATGTTGACTCGAGTTTTTTTCGGGAGCTGAAGAACGCACTCGCATTCATCTTACCTGCATGGTGAGGCTTGTGAAAGACGGCGCCATTCTGGAATCTTTGGTGCGACAGGCGAGTCCTGTGTCCCACCGAATCATTGAAGCAGCCCAGCAGAATCCCAAGCACAGTTCAACCGACTCTGCACGTCCTCTTGCGGCTGGAGCCATTTTCGCGCACAACAGGCAGGTAGGAGAGCGTCGTGGTCATCGGATTTCGAGAGCATGAAGTTTTGCCTCGCAGCTGTGCTTGCCGCCGCCGTCTCCGCGACGGCGATGTCGCAGGACTCTCCTGCTGAGCTTCTTCGCGAACTGCAGGCCCAACGGGAATTGTTGGAGGAGCAGCGAAAGGAGCTGAAGCAGATGGCCGACACCCAGGAGAGTATGGCTGGCGCCATGGATTCGGCTTGGCTCTGCCTTTGTGGGGCGCTGGTTATGTTCATGCATGCAGGACCGGAGTTTTGGGAAAGGATTTGTACAGATCGGGCGTCGACCTCTTTGAGGTGCGCATGCCATAGAAACCATCAACGCTGTTATGTTCATGCATGCAGGATTTGCCATGTTGGAGACTGGCTGCTGCCGTGCCAAGAATGCTTCGAACGTCCTGATGAAGAATCTAGTCAATGTGTCTTTGTCATAGTTCGGCAACATTTTACATGTTTATAGGTACCTAAACCCTGAAAGGAATACAATAAAATTTTGTTAATGCTATCCCAACCACGAACGAGGTGTCAGTTGGCACGTTGGGTTGGTGGATCTTTGGCTGGGGCTTTGCTTATGGCTCCCAAGCCGGGTCTTTCATTGGCACGGATGGCTTCTTCGGCCTCGGTTTCTACAACAAGGATGCATCGGGTAATATCGTCCCGGTGGAGTGCGATGAGGGTAACTGCCAGTCCACCATGCTGAGCTGGTTCTTTCAGTGGGCCTCTGGGATTTTCAGTGGTATCCTTTTTGTTGCTTTTTGGGCTTTGGTTGCTTGCAGATAGTTAACTCGCGACGAGTATCTTCTTTTTCCCAGTGAGGCCTTCTGCACAGCTGGCATCGACCTGAGTTGTCGTCGTGTCCTTCTATCGAGACGAGACAGTACACGTAGGTTCTCATGCATTTGGCCCTAGATTGAACGCAGGCGCCACCATCGTGAGCGGATGTGTGGCGGAGCGTGTCAAGAGTCCCACCTATGCTGTGTTCGCCTTCTGCATGACCAGCTTCATTTACCCAATAATCGTGGCTTGGACCTGGGGCGGTGGCTGGCTCGCCAGCATCTTCGATGTGGGATACATGGATTTTGCCGGCTCAGGTGGACCAAGAAGCGCCTAAATACCAGTATGAACTATTGAAGCGCACCCCTTGTAGGGATGTTTGCATCCTACGCGGCTCCTGCAGGTGTTGTCCATTTCACAGGAGGCGTCTGCGGCCTCGCTGGCACGGTCATCCTCGGCCCCCGGAAGGGACGATTCGAGAATCCCGAGGAGTTCGAGTACCACAACATCCCACTGCGACCTGCTGGCACTTGTTGCTAAAAGCCCCAGACATATTGTTGCAACTTGCATGTGTACGTACGTGTGTGTACATATGGACATATATTGCATCTGTTCGCATAACATCACATAAAATGCATGATGTTACATAGCACAACGCTACATTGTCTGACACATGACATTATGTATCATGATGTTACATGTTGCATCATCCTGCGGGACGTTGCATCACCTAGACGTTACAATACGGGCTCATGATATTGCACTGTACCTTGCGCTGCAGTATGCACGGCAGTGCACAGGACATTACGATGCCTCATACGTGACATTACAGTGTGTATTACGTCACATTGTAGTGCGGTGCATTTAAATATATGTCACACTGCCTTAACTTGGTCATTGATTTGTGCGTACATTGCATGGTCCACTACATTACACTGTGCATTGCATCATGCATGACATTTCTCTCTATTATGCCTTGCATTGTCCGCTCCATTGTACAGTGCATTTTCTGTTACAGTATACCACAAACTGCAAGCTGCATAACACTATAAACTGCGATGGAGATGTTTATGTTGTGCTACACTGCAAATGACCTATGTATGACAGTATTCGTTACATTACATTGCGCTACAATAAACTGTACCATGCTACACACACTAGGCTCACCATTTTATACTGCACTGCCTTGCATCACATTACATTGCTGCATCCCCCTGAAGAGGATGTCACAAGAAGCAGCCAAGGATCGTGCTCGGCACCTTCGCACTTTGGTTCGGCTGGTATGGCTTCAACCCAGGTTCCACTCTCTCGATGCATGATAAGGAGATGGGTGCCCTAGCAGCACAGGTGGCGATGAACACGACTCTTTCAGCAGCAACATGCGGGATCTCCGTTTTCTTGCTGAAGTTCGTGCTCGTGCGCAAGTACGATGTCGGCGCACTCTGTAACGGCATTCTTTCGGGCTTGGTGTCAATCACTGCGGGGTGCGGAAACATGGAGTGCGGGAGCGCGGTTCTCACCGGCTTCATCGGCGCATTTTTCTACCAGGCGGCGTCCATGCTCCTTGTGAGACTGAAGATCGACGACCCCGTGGATGCCAGCGCAGTGCACGGAGCCTGTGGCGTCTGGGGGCTTCTCGCCGCTGGTCTCTTCGATTGGGGGAAAGGCTTCGACCACTATCACGGCTGGAGCGGCTTCGGTTGCATGACCGGTGACGATGGCGCGTGCAGCAAGGGCCTGGGAGGCTCTGCCATTGCAGCACAGCTTGTGATGATTGTGGCCATTATCGCATGGGCCGGGACGCTGTCTACACTGTCCTTCCTTGCCCTGAGGTTTACTGGGCTTCTTCGAATTGACGACCATACCGAGAAGATCGGCTACGATATGCACTCGCACTCCCCGCCGAAGGCCTATGCCTTCAGCGCCTATGACCCAAAGCTGGAGGACTCTTACCCACAAAAGCCTGTGCAGGCATGAGTACGAGCCAACAAGGCGAGCCTGTGCCTCTTCCCCGTGCCACTCTCTTGTGTTGGGTTTCGTCCTAGCCGTCTTCCAGAGTGCGCTCGCGACAACAAGGCGCAGATTCGCCGAGGCAGTTTTCAAATTCGAGGGCCCTCCAACAACAGATTGGCGGGGTGACCATGCACGCCGGGACTTTGCAAGTCATGCAGGCCGCTGCGTAAATCTTCAAGCAGAACTGCAGAATGCCGCAGCACTAGTCACAGCAGAAGTCATGACTTGTTGGAAGCGCTCCTGTTTAGTGACCAGAAGCGTCAAGTTCAGCTGGATGCCATGGGGACTCATTTCATTTAGAGGTTCGCCATGGCAAGGGTCTGTCTGCTGCCCAGCTAAGAAGTTTCGACTTGCAGACAGCTTTCGCGCAGCTTGCAGAACAAGCGGTCACTTTGGGGCAGATGAGGTTACGAGACATCTCCACAGGATTTAAGTTTACGAGATCCCGACTACATTCTTGTAAGCAGCCCTGCAGAATACCAAGCACAGTTCAACCGACTCTGCACGTCCTCTTGCGGCTGGAGCCATTTTCGCGCACAACAGGCAGGTAGGAGAGCGTCGTGGTCATCGGATTTCGAGAGCATGAAGTTTTGCCTCGCAGCTGCGCTTGCCGCCGCCGTCACCGCGACGGCGATGTCGCAGGACTCTCCTGCTGAGCTTCTTCGCGAACTGCAGGCCCAACGGGAATTGTTGGAGGAGCAGCGAAAGGAGCTGAAGCAGATGGCCGACACCCAGGAGAGTATGGCTGGCGCCATGGATTCGGCTTGGCTCTGCCTTTGTGGGGCGCTGGTTATGTTCATGCATGCAGGACCGGAGTTTTGGGAAAGGATTTGTACAGATCGGGCGTCGACCTCTTTGAGGTGCGCATGCCATAGAAACCATCAACGCTGTTATGTTCATGCATGCAGGATTTGCCATGTTGGAGACTGGCTGCTGCCGTGCCAAGAATGCTTCGAACGTCCTGATGAAGAATCTAGTCAATGTGTCTTTGTCATAGTTCGGCAACATTTTACATGTTTATAGGTACCTAAACCCTGAAAGGAATACAATAAAATTTTGTTAATGCTATCCCAACCACGAACGAGGTGTCAGTTGGCACGTTGGGTTGGTGGATCTTTGGCTGGGGCTTTGCTTATGGCTCCCAAGCCGGGTCTTTCATTGGCACGGATGGCTTCTTCGGCCTCGGTTTCTACAACAAGGATGCATCGGGTAATATCGTCCCGGTGGAGTGCGATGAGGGTAACTGCCAGTCCACCATGCTGAGCTGGTTCTTTCAGTGGGCCTCTGGGATTTTCAGTGGTATCCTTTTTGTTGCTTTTTGGGCTTTGGTTGCTTGCAGATAGTTAACTCGCGACGAGTATCTTCTTTTTCCCAGTGAGGCCTTCTGCACAGCTGGCATCGACCTGAGTTGTCGTCGTGTCCTTCTATCGAGACGAGACAGTACACGTAGGTTCTCATGCATTTGGCCCTAGATTGAACGCAGGCGCCACCATCGTGAGCGGATGTGTGGCGGAGCGTGTCAAGAGTCCCACCTATGCTGTGTTCGCCTTCTGCATGACCAGCTTCATTTACCCAATAATCGTGGCTTGGACCTGGGGCGGTGGCTGGCTCGCCAGCATCTTCGATGTGGGATACATGGATTTTGCCGGCTCAGGTGGACCAAGAAGCGCCTAAATACCAGTATGAACTATTGAAGCGCACCCCTTGTAGGGATGTTTGCATCCTACGCGGCTCCTGCAGGTGTTGTCCATTTCACAGGAGGCGTCTGCGGCCTCGCTGGCACGGTCATCCTCGGCCCCCGGAAGGGACGATTCGAGAATCCCGAGGAGTTCGAGTACCACAACATCCCACTGCGACCTGCTGGCACTTGTTGCTAAAAGCCCCGGACATATTGTTGCAACTTGCATGTGTACGTACGTGTGTGTACATATGGACATATATTGCATCTGTTCGCATAACATCACATAACATGCATGATGTCACGTAGCACAACCTTACATTGCCCGACACATGACATTATGCATCATGATGTTGCACGTTGCATCATACTGCGGTACGTTGCATCACCTAGACGTGACAATACGTGCTCATGATTTTGCACTGTACCTTGCGCTGCAGTATGCATGGCAGTGCACAGGACATTACGATGCCTCATACGTGACACGACAGTGTGTATTACGTCACATTGTAGTGCGGTGCATTTATATGTATGTTACACTGCCTTCACTTGGTCATTGATTTGTGCGTACATTGCATGGTCCACTACATTACACTATGCATTGCATCATGCATGACATTGTTCTCTCTATTATGCCTTGCATTGTCCGCTCCATTGTACAGTGCATTTTCTGTTACAGTATGCATTGGATTGTGCACCACAGTCACTTTGCAGTACACACTACAAGCCACAAACTGCAAGCTGCATAACACTATAAACTGCGATGGAGATGTTTATGTTGTGCTACACTGCAAATGACCTATGTATGACAGTATTCGTTACATTACATTGCGCTACAATAAACTGTACCATGCTACACACACTAGGCTCACCATTTTATACTGCACTGCCTTGCATCACATTACATTGCTGCATCCCCCTGAAGAGGATGTCACAAGAAGCAGCCAAGGATCGTGCTCGGCACCTTCGCACTTTGGTTCGGCTGGTATGGCTTCAACCCAGGTTCCACTCTCTCGATGCATGATAAGGAGATGGGTGCCCTAGCAGCACAGGTGGCGATGAACACGACTCTTTCAGCAGCAACATGCGGGATCTCCGTTTTCTTGCTGAAGTTCGTGCTCGTGCGCAAGTACGATGTCGGCGCACTCTGTAACGGCATTCTTTCGGGCTTGGTGTCAATCACTGCGGGGTGCGGAAACATGGAGTGCGGGAGCGCGGTTCTCACCGGCTTCATCGGCGCATTTTTCTACCAGGCGGCGTCCATGCTCCTTGTGAGACTGAAGATCGACGACCCCGTGGATGCCAGCGCAGTGCACGGAGCCTGTGGCGTCTGGGGGCTTCTCGCCGCTGGTCTCTTCGATTGGGGGAAAGGCTTCGACCACTATCACGGCTGGAGCGGCTTCGGTTGCATGACCGGTGACGATGGCGCGTGCAGCAAGGGCCTGGGAGGCTCTGCCATTGCAGCACAGCTTGTGATGATTGTGGCCATTATCGCATGGGCCGGGACGCTGTCTACACTGTCCTTCCTTGCCCTGAGGTTTACTGGGCTTCTTCGAATTGACGACCATACCGAGAAGATCGGCTACGATATGCACTCGCACTCCCCGCCGAAGGCCTATGCCTTCAGCGCCTATGACCCAAAGCTGGAGGACTCTTACCCACAAAAGCCTGTGCAGGCATGAGTACGAGCCAACAAGGCGAGCCTGTGCCTCTTCCCCGTGCCACTCTCTTGTGTTGGGTTTCGTCCTAGCCGTCTTCCAGAGTGCGCTCGCGACAACAAGGCGCAGATTCGCCGAGGCAGTTTTCAAATTCGAGGGCCCTCCAACAACAGATTGGCGGGGTGACCATGCACGCCGGGACTTTGCAAGTCATGCAGGCCGCTGCGTAAATCTTCAAGCAGAACTGCAGAATGCCGCAGCACTAGTCACAGCAGAAGTCATGACTTGTTGGAAGCGCTCCTGTTTAGTGACCAGAAGCGTCAAGTTCAGCTGGATGCCATGGGGACTCACTTCATTTAGAGGTTCGCCATGGCAAGGGTCTGTCTGCTGCCCAGCTAAGAAGTTTCGACTTGCAGACAGCTTTCGCGCAGCTTGCAGAACAAGCGGTCACCATGGGGCAGGGGTTACCAGACATTTCTGCAGAATCCAGTTTGCTAGTACTTCGCCGGGTGCCTGTACCAGTCACGAACTATTTGGTATCTTGGCTCTTCATCGTGGTGCTTCTGCGGTGCGGAGTTCTGACGGTAGCTGCTCTGCATCCCTTAATAGAGTCTGCTTCTGCCACTATGTTTCCATATCTGTTTCCATGATTGATCATAAGGCTCGAAATTGCCCTGGACCCCTGAACTATGAGCCCGAACCCGCCGAACTCGGAGCGCGCGTGATGGATAGTAATTTCTGAATCTGGGCCCAAATCGTGATGTGCTGTCGCCAGGGTCTTCGAAAAGGCTGGCGCTTCAAGCCTGTCTCTGCCGAGGCACTCTTTGGCTTTGTTGGTTTGGGCTCCGAGGGGTTGATTTTTCACGTGAAGCATGAAGGTATGAAGTATCCTCTCGATTTTTTTGGTTACTGATGAAAGGCGTAGCCAGGCTTCGACAACCAAGTCGTCCGGCTCGAGGGCACAATAGGACTTGCATAGAAGAGAAACAGCTAACCTCAAACCTGATGTCAAGAGAGAAATCGCTGCAGCCTTTCGAATACAGCTGGTCAGCCAGTGCTTTTACTGAATTTGTTGCTGTAACACCTGTGAGAGTGTTGAACGACGAGAATCGTAACGTCGAGCAGTACTTGTGATGGTCGTCATCGTCGCCGTACTCGTACTGCTACTACGACTACGACGACGACTACTACTACTCCTACTACTACTACTACTACTCCTACTACTACTACTACTACGACTACCACCACTACTACCACTACCACGACCAGTACTACTACTACACCTACTCCTACTCTTAATCCTCGTCTTACTCTTATTGCTACTACTACTACTACTACTACTACTACTACTGCTACTACTACTACTACTACTACTACTACTACTACTATAGACTACTACTACTACTACTACTACTACTACTACTACTACTACTACTACTACTACTACTTCTACTATACTACTACTACTACTACTACTACTACTACTACTACTACTACTACTACTACTACTACTACTACTACTACTACTACTATAGACTACTACTACTACTACTACTACTACTACTACTACTACTACTACTACTACTACTACTACTACTACTACTATAGACTACTACTACTACTACTACTACTACTACTACTACTACTACTACTACTACTACTACTCCTATTCCTGCTCCTACTCCTACTCGTACTGCCACCACTACCACCACCACCACCACCACCACCACCACCGCCACCACCACCACCACCACCATCACCACCACTACCACGACCAGTACCACGACCGCTACAACGACCACTACCACTACTACTGCCACTACCACAACCACTACCACTACCACTACCACTACCACTACCACTACCACTACTACAACAACAACAACTACTACTACTACCACTACTACTACTACTACTACTACTACTACTACTACTACTACTACTACTACTACTGCCTACTACTACCACTACTACTACTACTACTACTACTACTACTACCACTACCTACTACTACTACTACTACTACTACTACTACTACTACTACTACCTACTACCACTACTACTACTACTACTACTACACTACTACTACGCTACTACGACACTACCACTACTACTACTACTACTACTACTACTACTACTACTACTACTACTACTACGACTACTACGACTACTACTACGACTACTACGACTACTACTACGACTACTACGACTACTACTACTACTACGACGACGACGACTACTACTACTACTACTACTACTACTACTACTACTAGTCGCAGTAGTACGAATACTACTACCAGTACCGGCTCTGAATGCGCTGGAAGGGTTGTGGTTCTGCAAGGACGGCACTGAAATAATGCGCCTGTCAAAGAGACGCACAACGTGATGAAAAGCGTGCACATACTTCGTGTCAATATTGTTATTGGGATACACTTTGCATCCTTACCATGTTCCATTGTGGTCACTCTGAGCAGGTAGGGCATAAAGCCACACCTCCAGTTGTGGCCACGGACAGGCTGTGATTCGTGCCTGCGATGCGGCGGGCTTTCGGCACCCGCAGCTCGTGGAACTGAGGGAAGGTGGCTTTGACACGTCCAGGGCTTCAAGTTGTCAGGGTTCAGACCGAGCCGTAGTGGAGAGCTTGAGAAAAGCAGCGTCGGCATATTTACGAGCGCTGCGAAGGAATCTATTCCTGGCTCCGGTAGAAGAGGAGGTTCAATAACCGTACTATCGTATATCATATCTGGTACAGAATGTCATGCAGAATCCAAAGAGGCCAGTGAATTCGGTGTGCTCTGAGGGTCCAGTGGTTGGCCTGCAGCTTAAGCGTATTCGGACCAGTGCTGGGATCCGTTGTTTCTGTCCACTTGCGTTGCAGAAATCCCGGAAAAGCACGGGATAGAGAAGCTGACGTGAACGTCTGGAAAGCTGACTTAGCAGCTACGCCAGCACGTGACTACGAGTGTAACTGCGAGCAAAGGCCGGAGAAGCCAAAGATTGCAGCCACTTTCCTTTGCCCCCCAGTACCAGGTAAGAAGCAACAGCAGCACGGCGGTTTACAGATTGTCTAGAAGCAACAAACTGTTAAGAGTACATAGTATCATACTGGTCGGAGCTTTAGAAGCAAAGCAACGTTGAAAGTGGGATTCCTCGTCTGACAGTTGGTCTGTGGCAGGCAGATCTCAAGGTTTGCAGCTAGGAACTCCATCGCCACATCTGTCCTAACTCGTCTGACGTCCAAGCAGGGCTGGAGCAGCAGAAGAATTCGGCCGGGAGCTCTGCAGGATCAATGTGTTTAGGGCTTCAGGGTGTCGGTTTCAGGAGGAGGCCTCCCCCCGCTGCTCTCCACACCTGAAGCCCTAAGCCGCTGGACGCTTACGTCCTATCGCCAACCTGTAGCAAGGAGGAAAAGGGTCCTCAACAAAAAAAGAAAAGAAGCCCTAAACCATGAGATGTGTGATCCCGGCCCCTTTCCAAGGCCTCGACTCGAGAAGCGCCGCCTCCACGGCCGGAGCTCCAAGCAGAGGTCCTGTTTTGGGCTGAGAAATGGGGGGTTTCCGAACAATACGGGGTACCTTGTTTTGGCGTCCTTACAATAAGGATCCTACTATTCGGGGTATTATATTAGGGTCCCCTATTTTCGGAAGCTCCCAAATCATAGCAGTTAGCGTGAGTTTAGTAGTATTAGTACTCAGAATGGTTTTACAATTACGCGAGCGGGCTTGCAAATCGTAGCAGCTCCAGTAGTGGGTATAGTACCTGTCGTCGATATTGTAGTGGGTTTAGAAAATCGCTGAGTTACAGTTGTGGATGTAGCAAATTTGAAAAAATAATAGTAGTGGGTCTTTTCAAGGTCGACTAGAAGAGTCACAGTGTTGGGCTATTGGGTCTCCAAACATTAGTAGTTCAAGGCACGCTATCACAAGCATTCATGTCTTTTGTGAACATGCGTGAAGCACAGACATTTACGGCGTTCTTGCCTCTTGCACAACATAATCCAAACATATGTTTGATGTTTCTAGAACAATGCGCTCTGTCACAAGACTTCATGTCTTGTTTGAATATATGCCCAAAACACTGGTGTTTACGACATTCTTGCCCCTAGCCCTAGATCTTAAACCCCAAACCGAGATCTTAAACCTTATGCGCTTTAACTTAAACCCTAAACCGTACATCTTGACGCTTTAAACCCTGGATCTTAAACCCTAAACCCTAGATCTCAGACCCTGCATGTCCCCTAGATTTTGAACCCTAAGCCCTACATCTCAAGCCCTAAGCCGGAGATCTCAAGCCCTAAACCTGAAATCTTAGCCCCTGCACCCTACATCGTAAACCCCAAACCCCATAGATCTTAAAACCCATCCCCCAGACCTTAGACCTTAAAATCCTCAACCCCTCTACCCCCCCCCCCCCCGGAGCAGGTGGACTGGGAGACCGTGGAGGCAAGGGAATTGGCGGCTCCAGGGGGTGAGCGGATCGAGGGTGTACGGTACAGTAAGGTACAGGACTATAGTAGGGTTTAGGGATTAGTAACAGGGTTTTATGAGGTACAGTAGGGCGTCGGAAAGGTTAAGGTATAAGGTCCAGTAAGGTACAGTGCTTTTGGGGTATAGGCTTTAGAGTATATATAGGGTTTAGGGTTTAGTAATAATAGAGTTTTATGAGGCACAGTAGGGTGTAGGAAAGTAGGGTACAAGGTACAGTATTGTGTAGGGTTGAGGGTATGAGGCACCGGGTTTCGTTTGGGCTATAGGGATGAGGGTTTAGGAATGAAACCGTGTGCCCGCGAATGTACTCGCAGGAAGGCCCGTGCGTAGACTGCAGATACTACCTTCTGACATGTCCGTCATCATCCGTTTGCAGCTGCCTTGTTTCTCGATCTGCATACCTACATAGTTTGGTTCAAGACGCGTCAGACGCGTCACCGGAGGATTTGTTGCTTCTGCTTCGGCGGTCTTCGGCGCAACTCTCCAGCACCCTTGCCTGTGAAGGAGGGTCCGCTGTTCGACGATGTTGCGGCCAAGGTGGTGCGCGGGAGCTGAAGCTTAGGTTTCCATTCTGTGCGGGGAAGAAAGAGCGAAAGTTGCCGAGGTTCGTGGCTGCCGACTCCTGTTCCAGTAACGTGACTTTGGCCCTCTGGGTCGCACGTCGCAAGGCGCAGGATGCCGAAGAACTGAAGAAGGCATCCGAGCCGCCAGCAAGCCGCGAGCTCGAGTCTACTTGAAGCTGGGGTGTTTATGTTGGAAATGTTTCCATTACCAGTTTGCATGGGCCTCATGCCGCAATCTCAACTCAACAGACCGAATACACTTCCAACTTGGCGTTTGTAGATGCCGGCCTCTACCGTTGCATCACAGGCGCTGACTGATGCTGGCCTTGTTGCGGTTTCATTCATTCGAGGATTGTCTGCTGGCCACACAGAAGACGCAGGCTATAAACTATGTACGGCTTCGACTGGCTCAGGTGGGAGCGTTTCCACTTCCAAAGGATCTGAAGCCTCCGAGGCACAGAGCCGGAAGGTAGGGGAACTGGTTCGATGCGCGATCCGAGATCGAGTCACGAGTCTTGCCTGGCCTTGCTCGAGCTTGTTTCTGCGATTTTTGCTCTTCCCCCTTTGCAGGCTATAGGCCAGCGACGCAGGCGCGAGCCAGAGGTTGCAGAGAGGCTCGCTTGCTTCCCGTGTATATGCGTATGCGTGTCTGTATATACAGATATGAAATGGTGTGTATATATACATATGTGTACAAATATTCTGCATGTGTACATATATCTATATATATATATATATATATGTAAATTCATGAGTATGTATATATTGCAGGACAGAGGCGTGTAGTCAGCAAGGTTTGCTGTCCAGGAGTGAAGCACACACTAACTCGGATGCGTCACGCCCACCTTGTGATCTGAGAGGCTAGTCCGTCGGATCAGAGTTGGGATTTGGGATCAGTTGTGGCTTGTGTGCTCAAGGATCACAGCTGTACTGTGCCGTGACATGGGCTCAAGTCGAGTTTGTTCTCTGCCAAATCATCATGTATCAGCTCCCTGTCCGCAGGCAAGGACTCGTTTCTATTTCAGAAAAGTAGTCACAATGCTGGCTGCCATTACTTGCGACGCAGTGGGGTCAATTGAATGTCGTTCTATCGTTTCTGTGGCCTGTGTCACCGTGCACTGTTTGCATGGTCTTTGATTCTTATTTTGCGTGGTAGGGGTTTGAACTGACGATGTCATTTGCCGCTTGACATTCACACACTGATACCCGACACGTTCTGCATGTTGCTGTAGGCAAACTGCATCTTGATTTGCGATACTAAGGACGTCGAGCTGTGAATGTGTGTGCCTTCTTGGGCCACATGAGTGTCCGCCTCTGAACCCAGGTATTTGTTGCTCCACTTCCTGCTTTGGTCCACGGTTGCTGCTCTCCGCGATGGCAAGGCAGGAGAGATCATCAGAGCTTCCATTAAACGCTCGTGGTGGTGTTCTCGAGCCGCAGCGGTGCTACAGGATCCAAAAAGTGTCTGTATGGCCCGGACGCTTGCATCTTGCTTGTGCTTGCCTATCCCGTCGAGTGGCATGGGAGGTGTTCCAGCGGGCAGAGGCCGGAAGAGCTGTTTCAAAAGACTTTCACGGCATTTCAGTTGCCTTGCTTTACTTGGGCCGGCATGAGACTACCGACGAATGGGATGTCTTGTGCCTCGCAAACTTTCCGGGCCACATGTCGCGAAGCAGTGCCCTCTTTAGTCAGATTCTCGTGGCTCCCTGCTGAAATGCAATAGATGCAGTCGCCGACTAGCCATCCCGGACATCCAAAACTTCGGAGTTTCCGAACATAGGGGACCCTAATATAGTACCCCAAATAGTAGGATCCTTATTTTCAGGATCCCAAAATAGGTACCTTCCAATACTCGGAAACTCCCACTTGTCTCCCTTCTCCAGGGCAGGATGGTCCCCTCAGTGGTAAACAACGCACTTCGAGAGGTCCTGCGACAGCGGCTCGTCCAAGTCAAGAGACACGAAGCGCTTCATAGGGCTCCAGCGTACTGTTCTGGTGGAGCAGCAAAGTCTCTGAGGTCCCAGAGTGCCGCCCAACAGGCCCAGCAGGTCAAGGCGAAAGCGCGTCTCGGCCGATCGTGACGATGCAAGGAAGCCACGCGAGACTAGCCGTTGAAGACTCAAGGTATTGTATCCCCCAAGCTTCCATGACTAGCTTCGCCGCTTCGGGGCTTCTGGTGCTTTTGAAGTTTGAGGGTCCTGCAGGACAGCCTTCCGCGAGGTGGCGAGGCAGAGGGAGCTGGAGGCCAAGAACAAGACCCAGGCCAGGCAGTGCCAGCGACTTCAGGGGTCCAAAAAGATCCCCAAGGTCCCGAGCTTCGCATCTTGCCCATGGGATCCTGTTGCAAAGAGGAGCTTCAACTCAATGCTTCACCATGATCTCTTGAAGACCAATCGTCAGGAGACGGAGGAGATGCTGGAACAGCTCACGAGCCAGAAGCAGATGTGGCTCGACCCAGTGGTCTTACACTTCTTGCGGAACCTGAAACCCCAGTCAGCCAACAGCTCTTCCGCGACCTCTCAACAGCGCCTCATTACGTCATGGTTCGTTTTGTTGAGAACAGGATCCGGCAGGAGGTCTTGTGCTGACGATCTCGGGGCGGTGGCATTCTGAACAGCAAACTCTCAGGTTCCGACATGTAAACCCTGAACACGGAAAGCTTTCGTTCAGGCTCGTCGCGAAGCAGCGCCAAGTCAATCTGCTGATGTCGCCGGCTGGCTGCACATGAAGCTAGATGAATGATTATGGTTTGGCCGTGTCCAACGAGGGTAGACGCAGGAATTCGATCATTGCGCATGGGTGTCTTATGAAACATGCACGAACGAAGGCTTGCAGAGTGATTCAACTCGAAGGGCCCGCTCCGTCACGCTTTTTACAACAGCGCTAGCACGCCGCTATTCGTGGCAGCTCTTGTCTGCCATCCAGCCGCGAAGTGTCTCTGATCAATCAGACACGAAGTCCCTCTACCATAACGAGAGAGCAGAACTTATCTCAGTTGGGTGACATGAAGCCTGTGATAGAAGCTCCCCTGAGCCGCAACGAGTGAAGCCACAAAGGATCGACAACCCCTGAAGCGAAGTCCGTCAAACCCTCAAGACTCAAAAGACTCAAGCCCGCACAAAATGCCCGCATCCCGTGAACCCTAAACCCGTGAGACCTTATTCTTTTAAACCTTGTATTTAGATTTGTGTATCAGTATCTACTCTAAAATACATCAAAATGCTTACCATACTGTATTTCAACACCTAACCCCTCGTGCCCGAAGTTCGCGAGGACAAAGAACGAGTCGCAGGAGGCCTGGCGAGTCGAGTCGATGGAGCTCGCGAACATGCAGGCGGGTCTCTGATTCTGGGTCTTTAAGCATTCCTTGATGGATTCCCTTGAGGATTCCTGTAAGGGTTCCTTTAAAGATTCCTTTAGGGTTTAGGGGCTCCTTTATGGATTGTTCGGAAGACGTCGACGGCGTCCGAGTCATGTCCCGGGAGCCCCGAAGCCTTGCTGCGAAGGCCAATCTGACACGCGAGGAAGGCTGCCTGCATTTTGCCTGCCATCTGTTTCGGGTTGTTGAGAGGGGCTGTGTTGAGCACAGCGCAAGGGCTCGGGCCCATTTACTGTCTCGTGTCTCGTGTCTTTACCGCACCCAATGCCTTTGCTCTGAAGGGGAGTACGCGGAGCTTCAGAAGAGGGTGCAGAAAGAGATCGCACGGCTCACCGACCAGCATCCTGGCAGCCCCAAGCCTCATCAAAGCTTTCGATCTCATCGCCGAGTCATGGCTGCCTGCGTATTGCCGAAGATACTCGTGCTCGTTGGGACGCCTTGCGTGTGAGATCAATCGGAACCTTTCATCGCATCCCTTCTCAGTAGGAACCCTCCTGCCGAACCCCCTCGAGCTTCCCTGGAACCCATCGAAACCCCGAGCTTTCCCGATACCCATCGTAACACTTAGATCCACAAGACATCACGATATACCCGTAGTCATGCACCCCTCATATGCACATACATACGCAGAATGTACCATAGCCTACCCCTGAAGTGGCCTCTTTTCGCGGCTCTAGGATCCTTCCCCCCTTTCCGAGCCTCCCTCAAAGGCAGCTCGCTGCGGACAAGCGACTCAGGGAGCTCCAGGCCGCCTACGAGAAGAAGCAGGAGAGGGTCTATCGGATTATCGGCCCTTGTGTTTTTCTTGAGGGTACCGATAAGCTTGCTCCAAGAAGGGTGACTATGAGGGTTGCTATACGATTTGCTGGCAGATTATGATTATCGAAAGCATGCCTCTTCGTGTGTTGGGGGCGTATCCGCACAGGGCATTTGTGGCGGTGTGGCATGAGGAAATGTCGAATTGAGAAGAGACAGGATCCGTAGGAAGGTCAATTCGACCGCAGAGACCAGGCAGGAAAGGCAAAGGAGAGGACCCCACCCCCAAAATCATCGGGAGAGTAAGCCCCTCGTTGCGCCACGCATCTTCAAGCCCGAAACATCCTGAGTCCCTAAGCCGAAACCCTGAGCCCAGACCGCCCGGCCCCAAACTCCTCAAGCTTATGGGATGACAGGAGAAGGTGGACCGGCTCCGGGAAGAAGCCGTGTCACGTGGCGGAATCGCCAGGCAGGGCACCCTAAGCTCTGAGCTCCAGCGTTCCCGGAAGAATATATGCATGTGTAAAAAAAGGGTACGTATATATATATATATATATATATATGTATGTATATATAGATAGATATAAATACATGAATAAATAAATAAGTATATATATATATATATATATGGTGGTCATAAAGGGAAAGCCATCAGAACTCCATGTTCAGGCGCTACTAAACGGAAGCGAAGGCATCAAGAATAAGAAGCCGGCAAAGTCTGAACCCTCTGAGCCTTGCACTCTGAGCGCTGGGGCTTAAACCCTAAAGCCCTAAACCGCAAGACCCTCCACACAAACCCTCAATCCCGACTCCCTAAACCCGAGGCCGAGGACCCTTACCCGAAATCCCAACAGCACCCCGACCCTAATGTAGGAACCTGATTAAGAAACCCTGGTCCTAAAGGCCCAAAATAGTGGGATTCATGTAAGGAACCCTTATAAACGCCCAAGGTTTCTTAATCAGGTTCCTATATTAGCACCCCGACCACAAGCGCCAGGAACGCCTCCCAAGAGGCCGACGTGGTGCAAGCCAACCTCGCCGAGGCGGCATCAAGACATAAGACACCCGCAATCTTAGGGGTACTTAGAAATATGTTTTGAGTCGTTGGTTACTCGAACTTCTAAGAAAGAGCTGAATTTCTAATTTTTGCCGCGGGTCTACGTTTAGTTTAGGTGAAGGAACCCTGGTTGGAATCCTTAGAAGAAAACATTAGTGGAAGCCGGACAGGAACCCGTGCGGTAACCTTAAAGCTTACTTGTCGCCTAGCTTTGCTAGCCTGGTGGTTGTTCTTAACATGTGCCCACATGTTTGTTTTTTAAGCTGTTGCATGCATGCATGCAGTCATTTCCATGTAGGCTCGGGGTTGGGCACTTCGGGGGTTTCGGCTGCAGGGTGGTTGAGTGGTGCTGGTTTAAGTTCCGCGTTGAGGCTTCAATATATATATATATATGTATGTATGTATGTATGTATCTATGTATC